AGCCTATTGCGGGTTCGTCAATAGTCTAAGGTCAACCGTTTGAACTTTTGACTTCCGTCTTTTTCAAGTTGTCTGCTTCACTCCTTTTATTCATCATTTATTTTCGCTTCTCTGCTTCGTTATTCATCATTTTCAATGAATGATTCAGTTTTTTTCAAGGGAATAAATATGATGCAAACTTGCATAATCTCGTTGTAAGTTGACTAACTGAAATTTAAGGAGACTTATTGCTTTTCACCCCAGTACTGCCTAGCAAAATTCTTCTTTTTTTTCACACTGTATTTCGGCATTCGAGTCAGCTACTCGTTCTTAATTATCTCTAATCGTGCAGATTTGGAAAAAGATGATTCGAAAGTGCAGGGATCGGAGATGACACAACTGAAGTAAGTTTTCGGATATTTGCTTTAGTTATTCTGTAATTAGTGCCATAAAATCAGTATATTTTTTAGAAAACTATCGTTTTTTCTATGAGATAATTAATCGCCACGTGATTCATTTCATAGTGTAATATATGCTACAGCGCTGGATATGATATAGTAGAATTTATGACACGATAATGAATCAGCTGATATGTCAATATGGATAACATGCCGTAGAAGATACGTAAACAGTTATGACTTTCTGGACGTTCAAATGTCGTCTGTTTACTGTTTCACTCAGTCGACTTTTCAATCTTCCCGAAGGGTATTGGGGTATTGGCATCTAGTTCTTTCTTATCTAAATGGACATTCATTTATTTCTGTCTCAGTCTGTTACCGGCTTCTTTCTGTCCTATGCAAGGTTTGATTTGTAATACGATTCTCTTTCGGTAAATAAATACGAATTTGCACGATGTTGTGTGCCTCCGTATATTTCCCCCATCTTTGTCATTTTTAATCGTCATTTAATATTTATGACACACGTGTCAAACACAACAGAGAATTGCAAATGAACAGAAAGAAAATAGAACTGCCTTTATTAGAAATGTATGTCGTGAACCCAAACTTCTCTGAACATTGGACATTCATTGGCGTGACAATGAAGTTGGCCTGCAAAAGAAAAGAATCTAGATTTATTAGAATCATTTAGTTGTCAGTATATATATATTGTAGTAGTTTTAACTCATTTTTTTTCTTATCGTTCCATTTTTTCCTGTTTCTTTTTCACTCAACGCTAAACCAAGAAGAGAAAGTGATGGTGCCGTCTATGAAAAATTTTTCGTTTCATTCTCATCCGTCCTTCGAGTTTTATGTGCATAAATTTGGCACTATGTTATCCTGCTTCACGTTCTTGATTTTATATTGTGAGTTCTTTTTGTTTTTCTTTTTGCATACGGTACTGAGTGTTGAAATAAGTTGTGCAGGTACAGAATCATTATGTGTGTTGTTAAACATATCAACTGCATCAGGTGACGTTTATATTAATTTTAAAACGGAATGAACATCTTAATGAACGTTAGTTTAATTTCGACTGATTAATTTTTTTCCTCATTCGTCGGCACACATTTATACAATCAACTCGTGTTTATCGTTATGCGGTCAACTGTTTGGAATACTGTTTTTTCCGTATGACTATAGCTACTGGCGTTTAGCTACTTTTTTTTCGATATTCCGATGAACGAAGAAAGTAAAAATATCAACAGTTTAAGAAAAGCCAAGTTGTCAACTGGCAAAAAAGTGGTATACGAGTATGACTGTAAAATATGTGTCAACGACCAGGAAAACAAAAGCCAGTTAGGAGAAAAATGAACGCGTTAAGGGTACCCCCCTCTTTTTTCATCTTGTTACCAAACGCGGAGCATACGTCCAATCGAGCTCAAATTTATAGCAGAGATAGATAGAGCATCGAAAAAGAAAATCGACATATTTTTGCCCAGAATTTTCTGAGATGTTCTTCTATGGGTTTTCTGGAAAACTCCAGTTTTCATTCAGTCACATTACAACCCCTCGAAAAAATGATCCGATCGAGCTCAAATTTTTACCATAGATAGTTTAGACCTTATCTCAAGAGTAAAATTTTTCTTTTCGAAAAATATGCTTTCCTTCTCGAGATATTAGAAAAATACTAAAAATCCTGTACAGAAAACCGATTTTTGTCTTTAAAAACCTTCTCACACCGAAAGTTGAAATCGAAAACGTTAAAAAAAAATTTACTCCTGAGATAGGGTCTGAAGTATCAGTGGTAAAAATTTAAGCTCGATTGAACCATTTTTTCAAGGGGCCGTAATGTGACCGGATTGAAGGGACCATCAAAAAAAATGCATAGTGCGAAAAACACACCTTGTACATAGGGCTCTGTTTTTCAGGGCCTTTGCGGTGATGCTTATATCCCCTCGAAAAGTCATCGAAAAATTCTGCAAGGCATCTCATTTTGAAGAGCAGACTTTCTTCTATCAGTCCATGAATCAGAAAAAGTTCTGAATATATAGGAAAGAAGAGAAAAATTTTCGAAACCAAAAAATTGAGACTTTTTAAGCTTTGAAGGAAAACATTAAAAGCTTTATAACGTTTTCAAGGAAGATCATGGAGAGTTGGGAGCGGTCTCATTTTATAGCCCAGACTTTCTTCTACATTGGGCTGTGTTCAGCTCAAAATGAGAAGTTTTTGGAAAAGAGGGGGGGGGGGGGGGGGGGATAAAGTTAAAAAAATTGGTAAAAAGGGAAAATTAAAGGC